GTTCTCTGGGACTGGACTGCCGGACCCCAGTTTCTTGGCCTGCTGAGTCCTCCTCTAGGACTCAGATCAAGTGTCATCTCCTCCTCAGAGACTCCCCCCACCCTCATCTCTGCTCCTGGGCACCCATCACTTCCCGGCTTTTCATCTTCTCACTTATCAAGCTACATTGAAATCTCCCATATGCCCATCTGCCTCTCCCACTGGCCTGGAGATCAACTGCTGGACCCTGGGGCTCTGGTCTGGCATTCAGACAGACTCTATGCTTTATTTGGGCCTGCACCACACTGGCCCACATGGTGTTTTTAAATTTTTTTGCAGTCACTGCCAAAATTTAAAAACCAAGAGATTTCACATAAAAATCCAGATTTCTGGCTTCTTTTGACAAATTGGAAATCTAGCAACATGAGTGTACTTCTCCACCCTCATGGCAGTGGTCCCCTTTGGAGAGAGCCTGGTTTCTCCATTTCTCTACAGTCCACACCATGCCTTATTGCCTCTGCATTAACACCTCATATCAGAGTCCTTTGTCATAATTGTTGCAATATTCTTTTTTCTTACAGTGGATTAAAGGAGAATGTAAAGTATTTCTTTTACTCCTATTCCTTCCTCAAACCTCACTTCCCTCGTTTACATCACCAGACTGGACCCTGTGGGTACCTGGGTTTTCCACCCTTGCACTAGGCTAGGAGCTCATTGAAAACAATCATGGTGCTTTGTTCATCTCTGTGACTCCAACAGCAGGTACAGTGCCTGGCTCAGAGTGGGTCCCCCATAAATGCTTGTTGGAATTATGAATGTAACTCTTCCTTTCAGAAGAAAACCTCTTTCTAAATTCTCCCATTCCTGTAGTCATCCATTCAACAAATATTTACTAAATCATCCATGTGTCCATTTCTCTGAAGTGGTGTTCTCTATATCTCTGAGTCCTGGATCCTCTAGTAACCACCAAATTATCAAATCCTCTTTCTAGATCGCCAGTTCAGGCACCTGTTATAAGACCTTGTTCTTAGCAATTCCATAAGAGGAGCTCACAAAGAACCATTGATTGGTAGTTATTATCAGTTATAAGTAGTTATCATTTGTTGAGAGCTTCCCATGTACCAGCAACTCTACATACATTTTTTCATTCAAGCTTTTAGAGCAACCCTGTGAGGTGTGTCATTGGTCTTCATATTAGTTAGAACTGTCGGTTACAAGCAGAAAAACAAAAAAAAAAAACTCTCAAAATGGCTTAAACCAAAAAGTCCATATAACTGAAAACTCAGACCTAACATTCATTAAACGCTTATGTGGCTGACACGGTTCTAAGAATTTTACGCATATGTGTTAATTCCTTTAGTCTTCTAAGCAACACTCTGAGAAAGGTCCTAATGTTATTTCCATGTCACAGATGGGGGAACTTGGGTCCTGAGATTTCAGTAATTTTACTACAGTCATCAAGCTAATAAGGTATTATTTTTTTCCTTCCCAGCATCTGAAGCCCCTTCCTGTGTTTAAAGGACTTGCCTACTTTATTAGACTCTTTGGGACCCGGAGTTCACTTCCCACTGAGGAGGCAGCCTCCTTTGCACCTGGTACATGAGCACATGGTGTAGGCTCTGCCTCCTAGCTTCTGGCTCAAGATAACCCATGTTAACTACTGATGAGTATATTTACAGACTTTTCTCCAAGTCAATATAATCACACATATACGCGCACGCACACACACACACACACCCCTATATAGAAATCCTGCTCTTAACTCCTGAAATATGCATTTTAAAGGACAACGCATTGCTAACGGTGGAATTTTGGGCACCAGCAATTGCTTGCTGAGGGAGAGAGGAATTTCACCCATGGAGGGAGCCCTACCTGGCACCCCCAAAATTGCACTGCTGAGGTGACCTTCGGGTAAGCTCACTTCCCCACAGTGCTGGAGTGGGTGTGAGAAGGTTGAAGCGGGAATTCCCATCCCCACCCTAGAAAGGTACCTCGGCTGGGCCCTGGGCCTGTGGCTTCCAGGATTGCCTGCTGGCCTGCCTGCACAGCTGAAGGACCTGCAAAGTCACTTCTGTCTGGACTCCTAAGTCCAGGCCAGCTAACCTCGCCTCCCCCACAAGCCCTTCAACACTTCCTTGATGGATTTTTTTCTTCTTTCTTCTACTCGGCAATTTTAATCAGTTCAGGGACCAATTGCTCTGCCCTCAGATCAATAGCCCTTGGGAAGGACTGCGGATGGTTCCCCCAGGGAAGCACCTTGGCTTTCTTTCTGACTCAGTTGCAGTCTAATTGAGCTTCTTCCACTTTATTAGAGCAGCCTCCCCTCCTTCAAGAACAAGAGTTGGCACCAGCCCAGAACCAGCGGCTGAAACTTATCTTTTCATATCATAATCCAGCTTTCCAGCTGGGGCTTGAATTTTTATTCATTGACTTTCTTTCTCTCTTTCTTTTTTCTTTTTCTCTCTCTCTCTCTCTCTCTCTCTCTCTCTCTTTCTCTCTCTCTCTCTCTCTCTCTCTCTCTCTCTCTCTCTCTCTCTCTCTCTCTCTTTCTTTCTTCTATTGTTTTGTTTCTTAGCCACCATCATGCTTTAGAAGGGATTTAAAGCTGCCCTTTGGCTGGATTAAGTGCTCAGTAAGCATTTGTTGAGGAAGGGATGAAAGAATAAATGATAGAACAGTCAGCACTTGGTAAATGGTTTGATGGAGAATCAAATGAGATGCTGCATGTGAAACTGATCTGTAATCTAGTAAAAATGGTAACTGAGCTGCACAGGGTGACAACCTTATCCACTGGTGCCATCTGCTGGAAATAAGTTAGCACAACAGGTCTGCTTTAGCGAGGCATGAGGACACTGGCTTCTGGAAGTGCCTGCATGGTGCTGAGGAAAAGGGGGTGCTAAGTGCTTTCCACGCATTATTTCTCTTCATTCTCATTGTCACTAGGAGAAACAAATACTATTATCATTGAATCTCTAGACATTAAAACTCTGAGGCTTGTAAACACTTGTAGTGGATTTATAATGTCTAAGGTCACACAGCTAGAGCGTATTTGGGATAACACTCCAAGCCAGTTCTGATATGGGTTGGGTCCCCCAGGAATCAGACTCCAAGAGGAAGGTGTGCATGCAGGAAGTTTACTGTGGAGTGCTCTCAGGATCACAGGTGGAAGGGAAAACAAACTGCAGTGCAGCCAGGCATTTTTTCTCAGCATGTGTAGCAGAGGCTACTAAATGTCTCCTAATTAATGTCTCCCTCTCCTCTACAAAGCAATGAGAAACTCCAGGGTCCCCAAACTATCGGGAAACAGGGCTATAAAATCCGTGCAGTCCCATAAAATGTGACACTAATGTCTATTAGATATGGCCATAAGGATGCTGAACAAGGAAGAGTCTCCCTGAGGGAAGAGCCAGGGATCATGGATGTCAGAGGACAGGGCCACTCCTCTGAGAAAGCAGAACCAACTCATCAGCCAGATAAGGATGTCTGTCCCATTCTGGATTTTGATATACAGGTCATCTCCCTTGTGCCTAGGTAGATGGCCCCCCAAATCAATGCTAATTTTTCCAACCTCCCTTATAGCCAAGTTGGCCATGTAACTGAGTTCTGTCCAACAGGATGTAAATCAGATAATCACACAGCAAATTCGAGAACATTTCATTAAGAGACAGCTAGGTTGCACTCAATACTTCCACCTACACCCCCCACCCCTCGCCAGTCTCTTCCTCCTCCTTTTTGGCTTGGATGCAGCTGTAATGGCAGGAGTTGGAGCAGCCATTTTGGACCATGAGGTGAGCTTGGAAATAGAGCTACGTAGAACGAAGCAACAAGATTAAAGGAGCCTAAGTCCCAGGAGACTTTATGGCACAAACCACCAAGTCAACCCCAAACTTCCTATCTACAACTTTAACAGAAGAGGAAAGATAAAATAACTTTTAATTTGTTAAAGTCACTGATATTTGGCATCTTTGTCTAACCTTAACTGATACAGCATCCAACTATTGATAATTCATAGTCCCTACATTCAATTGAAGGAAATAGATTTTTTCTTTTGTTGTTTCTGTTAGTAGAAGCAATAACACTCTGAAAATTTATGTCTGGAAGTGGTTCAGTGCGCTAGAAAAAAGACCTGATTGGAGTTAGAAGACCCAGGTTCTAGACCCAGTACTGTTGCTGATGGACTATGTGACCCTTGCCACATTTCCCTCACTGGTAAAACAGGGGTGGAGGACTGGAAGAGGAAGCAGAATCATCAATAAACATAGAAAAAGAGGCTTACCTTCACCTTCACTAGTAATAAGAGAAATGCAAATTAAAACAAGTAGATAAAGTTTCACACCAATCAGACTGGCAAAATCAAAAGGCCAGGTATTGATGTGGATATGGGGGAAACAGGAGTTTTCCTATAATGCTGGTGGAAATGTAATTTGGCACAACCATTGTAAATTAACCATTGGTGTAAAGCTGGAAAATGTGCATATCTTGTGATCCAGCAGTTCAACTTCTAAATATATACCTAGAGATAGTCTTGTTAGTGTGTCCCATAAGATGCTCCAGGATGTTTATTGCAACATAGAGAAAACAACCTACAATCTCAATGTGTATTATAGAAATAAATTAAGTTCACTGTGGTATAATAAGGCAATGGAATATAACATGTCAGTGAAAATAAACCACATTTGTATGAGCATGTTTAGGCCTTGAGAACCTAATGCTGAGTGATAAAAGCAAAGTACACAATGATACACTCACAAAGTGGCATTCATATACAAATTTTTAACCCACAAAGCAATTCTATGTTACTATTCATGGATATATACATATGTGGTTAAAATATTAAAATATGGTAGGAAAAGATAAATAACCAAATTCATGATGGTAGTTCTGCCTGGGAGAATGAACTAGGGAAGGATATAAAGGGTATTTCAACTTTATTTATAATGTTCTTTTTTTTTTTTTTTTTTTTTTTTTTTTTTTTACTATTTACAATTAGAAGCAAAAATGAAAAAGATCTGCTACCTTACTCTCTCATATTTTTGTATATTTAAACTTTTGAGTATATAAATGAAAAATGACAGAGTTGGAATAGAATAATATCTAAGGTCTCATTCAGCCCTAAACTGACATGTATAAAACATATATGAAGCCTGACGTGAGGTAAAGAATGGGAGTTTCAAATCCCAGGCCAGTTGGAGTCCTTGCAGTTATGAGTAACCAACACACACACACCCATCACCATCAACAACAAAACTGTCAGAAGCAAAAAGGAATTCACTGGCTCCTGTTACTAAACAGTCACTAGTAGCTTCAGGTAAGGCTTGATCCAGGACTCAAAAGATGCCATCAGCTCCACTTCTTGGTTCTTCCTCTCCACTGGCCCCCAGTCTGACTACATAATCGCTGAAGCATATCTGTTTATATCGTCTCACCACTGTGTCCCTGTGTTATCAGCACAAGTCCTCGCTAAGAATTAGGGTAATGCAAATTTAAAATGCACTTAAGTACTATTTTTTGCTTATGATATTGGCAAACCATTAAGTCATTTCCTGGACTGTGGGCGGGAAAGTGGTGCTCCTCCAGATTGGCTCTCTCCTCTCCACCTCCTCTGTGTCCCAGGAGGCAGGCCTGAATGGGCCACATCAACAGACTCCTTGGCCCTCTGTCATCTGGTTGAGGTCAGCCCAGTAGGAGACTGGAGAGAAAAGAGTGATTTGAGACATTTAGTCCCTTGGCTCCTTCCAATGGGGCCATGTTGGGCCGGCTTCACCCATCCCTTTCCACATGACTCGCCTCCTCTGTGTTCTACTAACTGTTCTGTCTCCTGGCTCCTTCAGGCCCAGGGGTAGTGACAGCCCAATGTTACCAGGCCTGGGGTGCTGCACTATACTTTGTAAACAGCCCTGTTATTAGACTCTCTGAAATTCTCCTAATGAGTGTGCCACATTAGGACACAGAAAGAAAATTGGCACAGTTCCTTTGGAGAGCTATTCATCAGCAATTCCGCTTCTCTGTCCCCACCCTAGAGAAACAGTTGCTCTTATGCACAAGGGGCAAGTAAGGGATATTTGTCACACTCTTGTTTACAATAATCAAAAATTAGAAGCAATTTAAATGTCTTCAAATGGAGAAACAGTTAAACTATAGTACATCCATCCATGCTATGGCATACTATGCAGTTGTTTAGCAAGGAGATGAATCTATTTGTATAACATGGAAAGACTCCTAAGACATTTTTTGCATGAAGAAAGTAAGGTTCAACACCATAACAAATTATACAAAAATCATACCTATTTCTGTAGTTTTATGTACGTTATAAAACTTTGAGGAAATGTTCACTGCCCCTCCCTACGGACAAATTATACATCCCCACCCCACTGGAGTCAGGCTTAGCCATATGATTTTCTTTGACCAAGGAAATGTGTGTGCATGAGACTTACAAGGGGAAGCTTTAAGAGGTTCCACCATTCTTTTCCCTCTGCCACCAGATTAGCATATCCCAGCTGCTTCTTCAGCCTGCAATGCATGACAAACACGTAAGGATCAAGAAATAAACCTTTGTTACTGTAAGGAACTGAGATTTTGAGGATGTTTGTTATTGCAGCATAACCTACCCTACCGTGATTAATGCATGCTGCTATATAATTGATACTTGGTTACTTTCTGGGGAGGAGAAATGGCATTAAGGGGGGTGGTGATCACAGGGGACTCTAGCTTTTATTGTTAATATTTTCATTTTCTTACAATGAAAATATGTTCAAGTATCACTATGCAATAAAAATACCTTAGTTTAAAGGAATACACCAGGTGCTTTCTTACTTAAAATTAAATGCTAAAAAATACCATTCTTAAAATAAACACACAAACACCCAATAAAGTAATGGTTCTTTTTGCCCAGCTGTCACTCTGAAGAAAGGGACCAGAGGCAGGTAGCTCTGTGAACTTCCAAGGCTAGAGGAAGTACTGGAGTCTGACAATGCCCTGTCACTTTCTCTACAGGTAGAAATCTGCAAGGCCTAGATACACTGTGAAACTGATTTCTGGTTCAGCTCTTATGAAATAGAAATACAGATTCATAATTTTTTTTTTTTTTACATTAATGATGCCTACCTTTCTAGTGACCTCATTTATGTGAAAGCAAAGGTGATAACATCACCAAAATTCAATTCAGTGAGTTTGGAGAGTTCTGGTCTCCTTGTCGCAGCCTACCCTTGTCTGGCAAAGTTAGTGAGAGCTATGGAAGCTGTTTCTGATTATACCTATAGATGTCTCTGAGTCAGGATTTCAGCCTTAGTTCCATTAAAACAAAAAGCCAAAATTGGTTGGGTGGATATCAAAGACCTCATGCACATTGACATGGCATAAACTACCCTGCAATTTCAACTTTTTCTTCAAGCCAAACAACAGCCCTGTTGTCTTTGAACTTTACTTTTGAGCCAAATGTCAGTGGCTGGACTCCCCAATCCAGTGCCTGGTCCCCAGCTTCGTATGATCGGGACATTATGACGGCAGCAGCAGGAGTAGCAGCAGCAACCCTGACCTCTTAATCATAGCTATGGTGACTTTAAAACAAAGCCCCTCTCCCCACCCCACTGAGAATAGTGAACTAAAGCTGGGTGATGGGTACATGTTTACTGCACTATTCTCTCTACTTTTGTGTCTGTCTGAAAATTGTCATAATAAAAAGTGAAAGAAAGAGAGGAAGAAAGAAGGGAAGGAAGAAGAAAAGGGAAAGGAAGGGAAGGGGAGAAGGGAAGGCGGGAGGGAAAGGAAAGTGGGAAAGAGGGAAGGGGACCCACTGGCTGTCTCAAGGCCTTTAATCATGACATTTCAGAATATAGGAACAAAAAGAAACTTTTGGAGAGACAAACCAGGTTCTTACATTACACATCTAGGTAAGAATGGTTGAAATAAAAAACAAGACAAAACAAACCAGTACCTGACAATACCAAGCACTGGCATGATGGAGCACCAGGAACTCCCTTTCGTTGCTTGTGGAAATGCATAACTGTGCAGCCACTTCGGAAGACAGTTTGGCAGTTTCTTACAACACTAAACATAGTTTTAGCATGTGATCTAGAAGTCATGCTCCTAGGTATTTACCCAAATGAGTTGAAAACTTATGTCTACACAAAAACCTGTACACAGATGTTTATAGCAGCTTTATTCATCAAAAGCTGACTCCAGATGTCCCTCAGGAGGTGTATCAGTTTCCCAGGGCTGCTGTAACAAAGTACCACAAACCAGATGGCTTTAAACCACCAGATGTGTTTTCTCAGTTCTGGAGTCTAGAAGTCTGAAATCAAAGTTTTAGCAGGGCAATGCTCCTCTGAGGCTCGGGGAGAATCCTTTCTTGCATCTTCCTAGTTTCTGATGGTGGCTAGGATCCTTGGCTTGTAGCTGCATCACTTTAATCATTGCCTCTGTCATCCCGTGGCCTTCTCCTGTGTGTCTCCCCATGGCATTTTCTTCTCTGTATAAGGGCATCCATCATATGGGATTAGAACCCACCCTAATGACTCATCTTATCATGACTACACCTACAAACGCTCTTTTCCAAATAAGGTTACATTCACAGGTACCACGGATTAGGACTTCGACATATCTTTTTGGAGGACATGAGTCAATCCAAAACAGTAGGTAAATGGAGAAACTGAAACGTTCATACAATAGAATAATATTCAGCAATAAAAAGCAATGAGCTCTTAAGCCATGAAAAGATAGGAATCACATTGCTTAATGAAAGAATCATCAGTAAAGGTTTTATACTATATGATTCCAACTATATGACATCTGGAAAAGACAAAACTGAAGAGTATAAGGAGGATGGTGAGGTTTGAATAGTTGAAGCGCAGGTATTTTTACAATGTGAGTCTGTTCTATATGATACTGTAATGGTAAATGCCTGACATTATGTATTTATCAAAATCCATAGACCTATACAACGAAAAGAATAAACCCTAATGAAACTATGGACTTTAATTAATAATAATGTATCAATATTGGTTCATCGATTGCAACTAATGTACCACATAATGTAAGATTTTAGTAAGAGGGGAAACTGTGGGTGGGAGAGGTTGGGCATATGGAAACTCTGTATTCTCTTGGGTAATTTTTCTGTAAACCTAAAGCTGCTCTAAAAAAATAAAGTCTATGAATTTTTTAAAAAATTATTATGGACTCTAAGGCTTAAGTATTACCTCTTTCAGGAAATCTTTCCTATTCTCCCACCACATTCCCAAGATGGGTTAGGTGTCCTCCCAGGCTCCCATAATACCCTAGGCATACATATATTCTGATGGTTGCATCTACCACATTGTTAGTATTTCTTTGTGTCTGTCAGTTAATAGCTGTGGTTGGCTGACCCCTGGCCTAGAATGCAGAGATGGTGAAAGCAGCAAATCCATGCAACATGTTAGCAGGCACCCAGGGACCCCTGGCAAAGGGCATTTCTGTTCCCTTGATGCACAGATGTCATTTGTGGTGTAACCATCATGAGCCCTGTGACCCACTAGGCTATTTTCTGGATCAGGGCATAAGGCACACTCATATCACATTAAGGCTTATTTCAACCTGAGCAGTGTCTGGACATCCCCATGGGGTAGTTTTTGCACTGAGAAACTTTCCTGGGGTTCGAACCCTGTGGTTTTTCAAGTCAAATCCATGCTGTTTTCATCATACAACACTCTCTTTCAATCTTGCTCAAGTTAAAAGGTGGTATGAGAGGTGACTGGCGCAAATGTCTATAGGACAGATAACATGAATGAGGAAAGCATACTCCGTCAGGAGGGGTCCCTGACATTTGGATAAGTCCATGCCTGATATAGAGTGGGCAGCCACTCCTTGGCTTTCGCTGTTGCCACACAGAAATGTGGACACAGTGTTACCAGACCAGGCAGAGATGCAGATTTCTGTTCACAGAAATCTGTGTCTTTAAAAATTGTTGGCAACTAACACAAACCGTTTAGAAATACTGGAGCTAGCATATTGGGAGGAGAAAGAATCATCCAATTGCATTAGGGTCTTATGATGGGGGAGAAAAAGCAGGGAAAGGCTAAAGGGCAAGGGCAGCTTCTGGAGAACCTTGTCACACTCAAGGTGCTTATCAATTGTCTTCCAGGTCTGAGTAATCACCAAAGGATTTAAGCAAGAAAGGGACATGATTAGAATGGCATTTTTAAAAGATCACTTTGGCAGTTGAGTGGGGGTAGGGCTGAGGATAAGGCGATGAGTTAGAAATCTATCATTAAGCTGAGTCAGGGTAAAGGGGAGATGACAAAGACCTATTCACTTTGTCCTTTCTCCTACAGACTGTAAACTCCAAGACCAGGCACCCCCTCTACTGTGTTCTTGCTGTGTCTCCAACACTAAGCACAAAGCCTGCTCAATACGTGTTTGTTAAAAGACTGGATGAAAGGAAGTGGAGGTGAGAAGTATTTTGAAGAACTGTTTGTCAGTTGCCTTCACCTGAAACCTATATAATTTTATTAACCAATGTCACCCAATAAATTCAATTTTTAAAGAAAAGTCAACTGCCTTGGGAGGAAGAGAATGTGGATAATGGAGAGAACAGTCACTGGAGTCAGGGGCCGTTTCCTTAAGTTTCCTCTAAGAGTTTGGGAAGGGGATACTCAATTAAGAAATCATGCACACATACTTCCAAAGAAGACCTTCAGCCGGGCCCGTAGGGCGTGGCTCGGCGGCTGAGCGGCGGCCCAGGCCTCGGCCATCCCGGTTCCACGCCTCCGCGCCCAGGCCTGGGGTGGGGGCTCCATCCCCGGTGGGGGCGTGCAGAAGGCAGCCCACCAATGGCTCTCATCACTGATGTTTCTCTCTCTCCCACTCCCTTCCTCTCTCTGAAATCAATAAAGATATATTAAAAAAAAGAAAAAAAGACCTTCATTGGTTCAATTCCTGGCATCTCTTCAGTCCACTAAAGGAGGAAATGGTAAGTGCCCTGAAGGACTTAAGAGGATTAAACGAAAACTGAGGGATGAGTAATTTCTGTCCCTCCCTGGGTCCAGTATTCCCAAAGGACATAGCAAAAGGGGACAGACCACTACCTCCGACCCCGTGGCAATTATTTTTTGGGTGGGGTGGAAACCGATGACCAAGGAATCTTTCCGCCTGGCCCTAGCGAGTTTCAGCCCCGGGCCTCAGGCCCGCCCAACCCCAAACCTCGCCCAGTCCTCCTTGTTCCCACACGTCCCAGTCCTTGACCCTCCCCCCCACACACACCGCCCCTACACCTCC